GTCAAACAATATCGACAAATAAGTGTGTCTCCTTTGCAGTGTTTATTTTACCAGTTCAAGGTTCAGAAAAGTGGGAGACAAACGGTGATCGATTGGCGACTTATCGAGTTGAAAAAGGAAAAAAGGACAAGAAACAAAACCTACCTTGAAAGGAAAGAAGACGCGGGAGATCAGTATCGGGCGCTGGTAGTGAAAGACGGAGAACACTGGCGCTTGACGAACACCGGTCACCGGTATTACGCGGGCTTTGCCGTTTGGTTGCTGCTGCTGTTGGCGAAGAAGAAGAAGAAGAAGGCGTCGCTGGTTCGACTGTTGTGCATTGTGTTGTTCACTGGTGCCTACAAACCATTTGCACAACTGCACTACCTACCTGCGGAGAGTGGCAGCTAATGATGTTGAGTGTTGCTGATTCAATGAGTCAGCCTCCTCTTTCTTTCTGCCTCCCTCCCTTCACTGGTCACTCACTCAGTCATTCACTCAGCCAGTCAGTTGCTTCCTAGTCAAAACACAAAGACACATGGCCAGACTGAGGGTAGCTGCTGCTGCCTGCCAGCTTCGGCGAATTGCCTGCGCTTCAGTCCGTTGCCTGACAACCACCGAGTGGTGAAGACTGGACGAACTGGCCGTGCCATCGACCCTACTCACCACACTCACCACCACTGGCTGGCCGCGAAAAACGGCGAGCTGAACAAAGCAAAGCTTGCTCAAAGTGAGAATCTTTTTTCCCTTCTAAGCAAGCTTGTCAAACACACACTCACTCTTCAAAGCACTGCATATAGAGGGCGCAAGGGAAATGTAGCAAAAATGAATGAAAGTTGGCTGTTTGGCCATTTTTTTAATTAGACGGTGGTGGCAGTGACAGTGGACGCACAATCATTGGAAGCACAAATGATGATGATGATATGACAAATGGCAATGTTTGTGTGCGTTTGTTTAACTTTATGAGTTTATTCGCCTTTATCATGTGGTATTTCCGCAATGCGAATAATTAATTAGAGTACGAAGCGACTTTGAATGAAAGTAGGAAGTGTCCCAAAGTTTTGGCCAATAAATGTTGGCAATTGTATTAATGGTGTATTTGGAAAAGTATGAAACACAATTGATTTTTAGCAATGTAAAAGCAATGTTGTTATTCTCTTGGAAGAAAAGTAATAATTGAGACTTTTAAATTTTACTATGCTGACAACCTTTTTAAAATCACCTTTTCCTGGCAATTGAACACATTATCACTGTCATTTTGATTACATTAGTCATGTCAATCAAATGATCTCACCACCTGCTTTTCCTCTCAAAGGGCGTTCTTAGTAATATCAATTTAGATTTCTTTTGGTGAATTGAAAGTCTGTTCTCACGTTCCACTGGTCAAATGTGATTGTCAGTGATCTCTCCAAACTTAATGCTGCTGCTGCTATCTCATTTTCTGGCACAACAGCTCTTAGTGTTCAGTCGATGGCCACGACTGAGATCAACAGTAACAGTACAACAAAATTCAATTTGGCCAAGTAATCGATTAGTTGACTAGTGTTTGTATGACCGAGAAAGAGTAAGAAAGAGTGCTCACAATTGGCAAATTTCGATCGTGACAGTTGGTGCAGACTGTTGCTGGAAACTCGTTTGCATGTTTTCGTGGCAATCTTAGTCTCAGACGAAAACGAAAAAAGTCTGAACAGCTCTTCAGCTATCCCTTTAGACACCTCACTGCCGTACAGTTTGTGTGTGTGTCACCCTGGCGTGCCAATGAAAACGACAGCTTCACCTTTGCCTGAGGTCATCAATCGTGCATCAATTGACTTCAACTAGTGTTGTTGCTGCTGCTGCTGCTACCACAGCAACAAAACAACGTCTACCACAACTGACCATTGTGAGGTGAGACATAATCACTTAGTAGTGGACAGCACTCTCATTCACACACAGAGAGTTCTTTTCATCCCTTTCTTCCTTGCATCACTACCATCACTGCCACCACTGCCACCCCAACCATCATCATCCTCAGAAGAGTCGACATTTGCAGCTCGGCTCGCCGCTGTTTTGCATTTGCCGCCAGCTGCCACTTTGTAAACTAGCCAAGCAAATGACTCAATAGCCAACACTACCATCAGTCAGTATTATAATTAGCTTCAGCTCTAACTTGATTGAGACTTTAAGAGAAGATTGAAGAAAAAGAAACAGGAGGAGGAGAGGATAGTAAGCTCTAAAGCCTGAAACGTGATTAGCATTTGCAATGAACAGCCCAGTACGGCAGCTGTAAAGCAGCCCAAAATTGCACAGCACAGTAGTTTGTCTCTATCTCTGAACACGTATTGAAACAAGCAAACTTGTGCTCGGCAGCAGCCGTTATCGCTTTCCACGACACTTGCTACAGTCGTCAGCCATCTTTTCTTTTCGACTCTCTTGCTTTCTTCCCAAATTGTAGTGCCATCCCCTTTTCCTTTTCTCAGTGACACTTTCATCCGACCTCCGCTGCAAACTGCTTTCTCAAGAGTCGATTTTTGCCTCTTTTCCACACCACATTTCACAGGGTTTTCATCCTCAACCTCTCTCTTCTATCATGAGGACTTCACTGTTGCTGCTACTTCTTTCTCTGTTCACCTCTTCAGTGGTGGTGGTTCTTGCTAAACCATCAGGTACCTTATATTGCACATCCTTCAACTTCAACTAACCTCTGTCTACCTTCAAATCTAGGTGCTCTGGGTGGACTGATCGACACCTCTGCACCTCTGGCTCTGGAGCCCAGTGAGGAGATCCCACTGAGCTGTCCACATGAGGGCGTCTTTGGGTATCCCCACCCGAAGGCCTGTGATGAGTACTTCCAGTGTACGAACGGCACTCTGACGCACGAGTACTGCCCAAATGGGCTGCTCTTCACCGCCGAGACTGGTCATGTAGTCGGTTTCTGCGCCTACTACTGGAATGTTGCCTGCCCCAAGGATAAGATTGCTCGTAAGTGCTTAGTTGGGCGTAACTTCAAGGAATTTCTTCTTCTTTTGATCAGTATTGAAAGCGTAACTAACAACTGTGTGTTTTACCCTCTCCTCAGCCAAGCCCATCAGCTCTCCCGGTTGCCCCTATCAGTTCGGTTTTTTTGCTGAAGAGCACGGCGAACCGTGCAACGTTTTCTACAGCGAGTGCTCCTGGGGTGTGCCCAGCCGACGACAGTGCGAGCCGGCTGGTCTCTTCTACGATGAACGCATCAAGGGCTGCAATTGGCCTGATCAACTGGGCTGCAGCTCGGAGAACCTGCTCAACTTCAAGTGTCCCGAGGAGGACAAGGGCAACCGGTACTGGCCTTATCCCCGGTACTACTACAACGAGGCCTCTATCATTACCTGTGTCACTGGCCAACCGCGACTGATTCACTGCCAGGCCGGCGAGGAGCTGGTGGACCCGAACTCCCTCACCTGCCAGTCCATTCACCCAAAGGAGGACAGCAAACCGGAGCCGGTGGTGGTTCAGCCACTTGAGAAGAATCGACGATTTAAGCAGTGGTAGAGCTAGAAAAAGGGGTAAAAAGCAGAGTGTTTGTAATGATTGACAATTTCACCATCACTACCTTTTTTTGTCACACTTCATTGGATTGATACACCTTTCAGCAATGGACGCAGTGCTCTTCAAATCAATCAAAATGTGTAAAAATACCAAGTGCAAGACATTAAAAATTACTATAATTGCATTTTGGAAGAAGAAACCGATCTGATAAAATGATTTTTAAGAACATTAAGGCAAACTGCATTTGAGGAGCCTCAATGTGCAATGATTCGTTGCCAAGGGAGTGACAAGCAACCAACCAAGTATGAACTTGATGTTGCCGTTTTGATATCAGCTCAGGTAGATTGCCATTGGCATTTCAGGCATTTGTCTTAATTCATGCAGCACTATCTCAGTTTTTAGTCTTTCTTTCCCTTCTTTGCCCGTTGTCCATGGTCATTTTCGGCTGGAATTTGGCTGCAATCATCCAACGTTTCCACAACGTGCTCTGGACAGCTCCCGTTTTGACAGTCAGTCAGAACACTCTTTTTACATTTCAAGGAAAAGATTCCTTTTGAATGACCAAACGACATAGCATTATTTCATAACTGCCACCAACCATTCACTAAATGCAATACGATATCTGTACGGCAATCTAGGTATCAGGTGATGGTAAAAATACACGTTTGTTGGAAAGCAAATTAGCAATTAGGGGCCATACCGGCTCAAGGTGTACAAAATAGCAAGAGATGTTCTTCTTTGATACTCAATCCCTCCTCTTTCTCCTTTTCTTTCAAGCAAACGGGAAAGTAAACGGCAACAGGTTGTTGCAAACTCTCTGAAGCAAGTTGCTGAAAGTAGAAGAAAGTGCGTCTAAATCTCTTTTTCTTTTTTCTCCCTTTAATCGACATAAATCTGCTGATGATCTTCAAAGAAGCAATAATGAATCTCCAGCACTGCCGAGAAAGAGCGAGAGCATATCCTCGAGTGAATGATGTACTGCACAATGTACTGCCACTACTCCACCCCACTCTTCAAGTCTGTTTGCATCTGAGGACACAGCCTCTCTTTCTCTTTCTCCACCACCACCATCATCATCAATTTCCACTTCGCTCTCACTTCTTCAGACGATCACTCTGACTGGGAGCCGTCTGTCAACGGCTGGAGCCGGACTCGGCACTCAAGAAAAGATCGCCGCTCTTAAAATTTGACTCCACTATGCTGATGGCACTAACCTAGCCTAAATGGACCACCATCTACTAGAGTCATGCGTTGTAGGAGCAGTCAGCTAGACAGTTAGTGTCAGAGTAAGCTGAAATATCGGTCAGCAGTGCGAACAGCAACAGCAGCAGGCAAAGATGACAGCCAAGATAGTGGGAGAAGATTAGAGACGCCGATAGACGAAGAAACGGCCAAAGAAGAAGAAACAGCAAGAGCAAAAAAGCAAGAGCAGACAGGCCGCTGAGAGCCGCTCCTGTCGAGTTTCGCTCCTGACTCGGACTCGAAATGGTGGTTGCTGTTTGAGAGGACGACCACCACCACCACCACCGCCGACCAGGAGGATATCACTCGGCTCGTCCGACAGCCAGTGTCGCTCTTGTGCTCCTCTTCTCCAGTACAGTTCTCTTCGTTAGACTGCTCAGCAGAAGCAGCCATTTCGAACGGCATCGACTGTACGGCAGTCACCGTCTCATTGTCATCTTGTCCGGCTGTACCGCTTGGTCTCTGTCTGCCTGCCTGACATTGACTCCTGTGTCTACCCGTCTTTATCTAGTCATCTAGTCTCATCAAGTTGACCCTTAGTTTGTTTACCAAAAGATCACCACCCTCTCCACCCTTTCCTGCAAGCATGTCGTCCAATCGGGCACTTGTCTTGCGCAACTCGGCGGCCGCCCTTCTCCTCCTGATGGTCGTTACCTACTTCAACTCGCACATCAAACTGACCAGTGCCCTCCAAAAGGAAGATGGTAAGTGGTCTTTGCCTTTTTGAAAAATTGTGCAAGTTTAAAAAATACAACTAGCTTATATTTCGTTATTTTTAAACAACCANTGGTAAGTGTTCTTTGCCTTTTTGAAAAATTGTGCAAGTTTAAAAAATACAACTAGCTTATATTTCGTTATTTTTAAACAACCAAGTTTTAGCATTTTTGCTATTTTAAAAACTTTTTAATGCCACTTGCAAAACGTCAATGTCAGCTGAGCCTTTCATTATCCTTATCACTTACGTTCTTTATTAGTGTAAGTTGTTTTTTATGAAAAGGGGGACACAGCACCCTAGCTCCGACTAAACGATGATCAACAAATTTTGACCTCATTTGGTGCTGAGCCAGTTAAAGGATAGGGAGAGAGAGAGAGAGAGAGAGAGAGAGAGAGAGAGAGAGAGTAATCAGTACGACAAACAAGTCTCGCCTTTGCTGTTTGAGCGCAGAAAGTAAATAAAAATAAATAAAAATGCAATCTATTAAAAATAGCAGAGCACAGCTGAGCTATCATCACCGGGAAAGCACACAGGTGGCAGCGGTCACCTGTTGTCAGCTGCTGCAGAATTAGGACAACAACACACCAACGTACATTCAAAGCCATTCAAAGTGCAGTCAGTGCGTCTCAATGGCCACAAATAGCGCACCGAGCACTGGCGAATTAAGTCGGTCGTGACGGGGTAAACGGTGCTGTTGTTGCTGCTGCTGCATGGCAACGCGTCTCTACGCCCTGACTGACCTTTGAAGCTCCTAGATATAGCCGATCATCACCCATTTACCCACTCAAACAAACAGACAAATAGTTGTTCACCCCTTTTCAGCAGACACACTTACAACTTACNTGCATGGCGACGCGTCTCTACGCCCTGACTGACCTTTGAAACTTCTAGATATAGCCGATCATCACCCATTTACCCACTCAAACAGACAGACAAATAGTTGTTCACCCCTTTTCAGCAGACACACTTACAACTTACATTCATTCTCTCCTCTTTTGTTCAGGTTCAGTGGACGGTGTTCAGTGCATCGACAATGGCAAGTTCTACCGAAACCCTGACGCCGTGGGCGTTCGCGACTGCGCCCGCTACTACTGGTGCCCGCGGGGAAAGGTGCTCCAGTTCCGATGCAGTGCCGGCCTCTGGTTCGACATTGACCGGCAGATCTGCGACTTCAAGTTCAAGATTGACAACTGCGACAAGTCGCATGGTGAGTGGGGGTCAAGGGGTTTAATCATTGCTGATTAATTAGATTGATTAATCTAAAACTGTTTTTCAGATGTGAGCACCCCAAAGCCGCTGCTCTCCACTGAGGAGCCAATCTGCCCCACCGGACAGCTTGCCTGTGCCAATCGAAAGTGCATCAACCGAGACCTCTTCTGTGATGTTAGTGTTCACTATGATTGCTACCAAATATTTTTGCTAATACTGTTCAAACCACTCGAAACAGGGCCAAAAAGATTGCGATGATTATTCCGATGAATCATACTGCGACCCGGAAAACGATCCCAATTCTCCGCCTCGCTGCGACGCCAACAACTGCACTCTGCCTGACTGCTTCTGCTCCGTCGACGGCAGTCTCATTCCGGGCAACCTCAAACCCGAGGAGACGCCGCAAATGATCATTCTCACCTTCGACGATGCCGTCAATAACGAGAACTGGGAAATCTACGAGCGCATCTTTACCTCCAACCGAACCAACCCCAATGGTTGTCCCATGTCGGTAAGTGGTGGTGATGGTCGAAATGGTTTTGTTTAAACCTTTTCTAATTTTTGCATCTACTTTCCTAGACTACCTTTTTCCTCAGCCACGAGTACACCAACTACCGCCACGTGCAGAAGCTCTGGAATGATGGTCACGAGATTGCCATTCACTCCATTACGTAAGTTTTTTTAAAAAAATTAATTTTTTTCTGAAGCTAATAAACTTTTTTTGTTCACTGATTTCAGTCATCGAAGCCCCGAGTTGTGGTGGACCTTCAACGCTACCATGGAGGACTGGTTCGACGAGTTTGCCGGCATGGCCAACATTATTAACCGTTTTGCGGGCATCCCTCTGGATGAGCTACGCGGCACTCGAGTGCCCTTCCTTCGGGTCGGCTGGAACACGCAGTTTATCATGGTAAAAATGCTTGATTTGAACTTGTTTTGAAATTGTTTAATCACATTTTGTCAATTTAGATGAAGGAGTTTGGCTTCCTCTACGACTCCTCAATGGTCGCCCCTCGTTCTGACCCGCCACTGTGGCCCTTCACTCTGGACTACCGAATTCCCCACAAGTGCCATGGCTCTCGCCAGCGATGTCCTTCGCGATCTTTCAACGGAATGTGGGAGATGATCATGAATCCATTCGATATTGAGGTACAGTGGTCCAATAGCACTGTTGGTTTCAGTAGATTAATTATTTTCTCATCAGGGCCACATCTGCGCCATGGTCGACTCCTGTCCGACGCATCTGTCAGATGAGGAGGTGTACGCCATGTTGAAGGACAACTTCAACCGCCACTACAAAACCAATCGAGCCCCCTTCGGTCTCTACTTTCACACCATCTGGTTCAAGGATAGGCGCAACTTTAACATTCTCACGCGATTCCTCGATGAGCTTCTGCAGAATAAGGTATGGGAATGAGTTCACAGTGACGACTTGATTGTTCTAACTCTCTCTTTCCAATTGCAGGACATCTTCTTGGTCAGCAACTACCAGGCAATTGAGTGGATGCGCACACCGACGCCTTTGTCGCAAATTGCCAACTTTGAGCCGTGGAAGTGCAAGAAGGACATCGACCCTAATCTGATTGCCTGCAACCACCCGAAGAGCTGTAAGCTCAACTCTCGCCAGGTCAAGGGTGAACGGTACCTGCACACCTGCTTTGAGTGCCCAGACGTTTACCCGTGGGTGAAGAACGAGTTTGGCCTCGAGTACTAGAAAACTGGAGAGTCTATCTCTGGTTAACTCACGCCAGCCAAACAGTTTTGATCTTGGAGACAATTATTCCTTGTTAGAGCCGAGCTTTGTTGCAGCAATTCTTTTCATGATTCGGTCACATTCACAGGCACACCTTCCTTCACACACAACTCCCAATCGCACCAAAATCTCGCTCAAACCTAAATCTCATCTTATTTTTCTTTCACGTTCATTTTGATGATAATTATGTTTTTGTTGTTGCTGTTGTCATTGGTTTTCTTTTTTCCTTTCATTTTCCTTTGACACTCCCCCTTTGACGACGATCACAAGCCACACTTATTTTAGCTAGTGACACAATACATTAAAAAATGCAGTCTTTTTTGCTATTGCATCTTCATTGCACTCTTCACCACCATCATCATAATCGAGAGTTTTGATGCGGGGGATTTTCACACGCACCGTCCAGTCCAGTTCTGACGGGGCTGTCCAGGCACTGACAGTCAGTCAGTCATCCAACTAGAGAGATGGCTAGGCGACTGATGATGGTAATCAACAGCAGCTTCTCCTCTTCTCCTTCAGATTGTCGGGCGCCAGCAACACCTTGACGACCAGTGCAGGCAGGGTGGAGGGTCTGTCGGTCTGTCTGCTTGTCTGTTGCCAGCCTGATGCTTTGATTGCCGTCCCACTGTGAGCTTGTGCGGAATGCCGTCAGGAATGCAGTCGTTGGCCAGGTCGATTGTTCACGGCGTCTCTCACCCTCCACCCGGTTCGCCGATTGAAAGAGAGTCCGCCTGAATATTCTCTCCCTCTCTCACTCACTCTTCTGCCCGGGCTTGTTTAGCAGAAGTCCAGCAGCTGCTGCTTCAGCTGTGTGATGCGCTGAAGTGAGCAGCCTGTTTGCCAGCAGCAGTTTCATGAATGACTGGCAGGCGGCTGCACTGGTTACAGTACTTCTAAGAGTTGCCAAAGTCTTCTTGCTGCAAGCCACTTTGGCCCCTGAAAAGGGGGAGTTCTGGGCACCTCAGTTGGTTTTCACCCTATTTCCGGCTCACGTTTTTTGTTTTGAGCGAAACGTCCGGGGGCTTCACGGAGTCTCTGGAAGGCTCCACTGGCAGGCTCTACTTTTACGCTACTACGAGAAGGGAGGAGCTCCCCTCCACTTTCAGAGACTCGAACGCTACGTTTTGTGAGTGAGACTCGCACAGTGTGGGAGAAAGAGGAACGTTTCATTGCCCAGTTGATGGCAGTCGCTCCTCAATCTCATTGTGTTCAGTGCGTCGTTCCAAGTTGCTCGCATCCTCCAACGGCATCAG